TTGCTCTTTCACACTCTAAAGAGGGCATCTTGTGGCAGTTTTCCCAGTACAGCCCACTATTTGATTTCTTGATATCCGCTTCCATGAGCATTGATTGCGAATCCAAGCAAGAAAAAATCCTGGACGTCGATCTTTTCTGTTTATCTTGGTGGTGTATTTTAGTCCAGCAGTGGTAAGCACCAAATTGATTGGAAAATCAGGCTGGAAAAAGGCCGCTGCTGGTAATTTTCAGATACACAAATTTGGTCTAGAAATGGAATTAGATCTCCAAGGTACAAGTGCTATCCCACTGGAAACCTTCTCACTTTTGTTTTATTATGCTTTTGGTTTAAACCCAATGAGATGGAAATAGAAAGTTTCGTCTTTTCTTGGAAGGGAAGGCGTGGATAACAGGTGTCCCCAGTAGAGCAGAGGGGAGGGGCTGCTTTAATCCCAGGAAATAATAGAGGAGGTGGGGTGTGGACATAGCACCTTAGGGGAAGGGGCAGTGGGAGGAGAGCCGTCATCCTTTCTTAAATCTTTATTTCTTGGAAAGGGGTGAGGGTGGGGGTTACTTCTTTAATGATGTTCTGAGAATTAGAAAGTAGCGAAACTTAATTTCAAAATCCTAATTATGAGGTGAAGTTTCTCCAGTTAATTGCTACTCACCTTCCCTTAGGAAAAAGCTACTTTTTAGAAATTAATGGGAAGTAGAATAAATAACTTGATGTAACTAATTCCTAGAGTGGATGGACTCTGTGTGTGTGTGTGTGTGTGTGTGTGTGTGTGTGTGTGTGTGTGTGTGTGTGTAAATAACCAAGATTCATTCAGTCCTCTTAAATTCTCAGACCAAGTGAGATGGATATGCAGTTAACCATTTTATTGTAGAAACAACACTGGATGAGGAGATGAGAGTCTGGAGTTAGAAGATCTAAATTTGAATCCAAAATCCATCCCATGTTGTGTAGAACTGTGGGTGCGTTTATTTACCCCATCTGTGCCCAGCTGAAACATTTTCAAGTGTACCCTACCTAGGAGATATTTGAAAATGTAGATGGTGAAGCCCTACCAGCCCCTCAGTGTAATTTAAATGTGAACATTGTTGGAAAATCTATTTGTCTGACAAAGTTACTGAAAAAAAATATGTTGAGAAGGTTTGTTGTGACTGGTTCTTTAAAGAAGCAGTGAGTTGGAAGATGAGTGCATTGCGAAACCAGAGAGATAACTGACCTAAGCATGTTTTCAAAGATTTTAATAAGAACTAAGTGTGGATCTACTTGCTAAATATATTTTATGCTAATTAAAATTAAAACCCTACACTCATCTGAAGTGCACAAAGAAGTAGAATACTACTGGTCAGTTAACTGTTCTGGGACACTGTAATGCATTCAGGTTACTCTCAACATTACAAGCCTGGTGTTTTGCAGGTGCTTTTAGAGGTAAATGTTTACAGTCTGTAGTCATGTAGATTTTTAGGCAATGTGGATTATGGGTTATTCTTAAAACCATACAAAGAAGATTCAATTATGGGGAAATTGGCCAAAAGATTTTGTCTGGGCTCATGAATCCCATAATAAATTGAGCCTCGTTGCTCCCAATATGATTAGAGAGCCACCTTCTTTCCCCATACTAGGGTTTAATACAGAAGCTACTGCCTGCCCCAGCTTGCTCTGATAACCTCTTGACTTTCCAGTTGCCCATATGAAGCAACTTTTCCTTTTGGGAACACCAGTCACTTGATAGGAACAGAAGAACAGCTAACTTGTTGAGAGTCACTGAAACAATCCCAATGAGGATCCAAGCCCAGTGATTTTTGCTTCCCCAGAGAGAATTGTACTCTAAAAAAGAAAATTATTCATTTGTTCACATTATCAGTTCTTTTTTATTTAATCATTTTATTGGGGCTTGTACAACTCTTAACACAATCCAAACCTCCATCCATTGTGTCAAGCACATTTGTACATTTGTTGCCATCATCATTTTCAAAACATTTTCTTTTTATTTGAGCCCTTGGTATCAGCTTCTCATTTTCCCCCTCCCTCATGAACCCTTGATAAGTTATAAATTCTTATTTTTTCATATATTGACTAATGTCTCCCTTCACCCAATTTTCTGTTGTCCATCCCCCTGGGAGGGGCTTATATGTAGATAATTGTGATCAGTGGTCCCACCCACCCACCACCACCTTCCCCTTATCTCCTGGTATGGCTACTCAATATTGGTCCTGAGGGGTTTTTCTGTCCTAGATTCCCTGTGTTTCCAGATCTTTTCTGTATCCATGTACATGCTCTGGTCTTGCTGGATTTCCAAGGTAGAATTGGGGTTATGATAGTGGGGAGGGGTGAAGCATTAAAGAACTAGAGGAAAGCTGTATGTTCCATCATTGCTATATTGCACCCTGACTTGCTTGTCTCCTCCCCACGACCCTTCTGTAAGGGGATGTCCAATTGCGTACAGATGAGCTTTGGGTCGCCACTCTGCACTCTCCCTCATGCACAATGGTATGATTTTTTGTTCTGGGTCTCTGATGTTTGATACCTGATCCTATCGACACCTCATGATTACACAGGCTGTTGTGCTTCTCCCATGTAGGCTTTGTTGCTTATCACTCCAGGAATAGGTTCTATTGAAATTATTTTGGCAATGAAAATATCTTTCATTTCTTATGTTTCACTTACATTTAAATTATCTCAGCTTCATTGTCTTGAAGTGCTAGGTTTAAGGAGAAAAACTTTGATGTGAATAGTTTTGCCCAACACGTTTTCAAAATGTTTGTTTCTATAGGACAGTACAATTTGAATACAATTTCCAAATAAAAATTTGAAACAACAGGTGTGCATTTCTTTGTTTAATGGACGGGCTGATTAAATTAAACGTGAGTTTTACCTCTTTAAAAGAATTTCCTGCAGATAGCTGGGAGCAGAGTTCAAACCATGGAGATAATATGTGGTGTATCATACCAAAAAGCTATTAAAATATTAGTGTACCGTATATACTCGTATATAAGCTGAGTTTTTCAGCACATTTTTAATGCCGTTTTTGTGGTAAAATTTGGTGCCTCAGCTGATATTTGGGTCAGCTTATACTTGAGTATATACGGTAAATTAGAATTAGTAAAAATACACAATTAAGTGAGTTAAAAGTGGGGAGGAATGGGTAAAATGAGCAGGCAGAAGTAATCACTGCGTCATGAAAGTCAGTCACAGACTCATACTCATTGGCCCTTTCTATGAATGACTTGGATGATTTGATGTATAATGGGATTTCTGTCCCTGTAGCTGGCTAGTCCTGTAGCGATTGTTTATAGTTAAAAGGAATGTGGTTGGGGGAGCTCATGAGACTGGGAGTTAACTGAGAACTGACAGAGGTAGGTTACAGTCAAAGAGCTGCTGATTGGTTAGTCGAAGAGATCTAGATATCTTAGTAAACTGTCCCTTATAAATACTGTGTTCCGGTACACGTATTTTTTTAAATCATTTTATTAGGGGCTCATACAACTCTTATCACAATCCATACACACATCAATTGTGTAAAGCGCATTTGCACATTCATTGCCCTCATCATTCTCAAAACATTTTCTCTCCACTTAAACCCCCGGCATTAGGTCCTCATTTTTCCCCTCCCTCCCCACTCCCCCCTCCCTCATGACCCCTTGATAGTTTATAAATTGTTATTTTGTTATATCTTGCCCTGTCCGACGTCTCCATTCACCCACTTTTCTGTTGTCAGCCCCCCAGGGAGGAGGTCACTTATAGTTCCTTGCAATCGGTTCCCTCTTTCCTACCCACTCTCCCTCTACCCTCTCTGTTTCGCCATTCACACCACTGGTCCTGTAGGGCTCATCCGTCCTGGATTCCCTGTATTTTCAGTTCCCATCTGTACTAGTGTACATCCTCTGGTCAAGCCAGACTTGCAGCGTTGAATTTGAGTCATGGTAGTGGGAGCGGGGAGGAAACATTTGGGAACTAAAGGAAAGTTGTATTTTTCATCGTTGTTACATCGCACCCTGACTGGCTTTTCTCCTCCCTGAGACCCCTCTGCAAGGGGATCTCCAATGGGCTTTGGGTCTCCACTCCGCACTACCCCACCGGTACACCTATTGAATAGCCTTTTGCCAGCAAATATTCTAGCATCTATCTCATGCCATAAATTAAGTAGATATTGATGCTACAAAGATGAATGAGATAGAGTTTATCTCTCATGGAGTTTACTACATAAAGAATGATTATAAACACAGAGAGACTTACTTTGACTTTTATCTCGCAGGATTGTGGACACTATATGTGAAAAGGGAAGGTGGGAAGGTACATAAAAATGACAGGTCAAGTCAATGAAGACGTAAGGCCTTTTGAGAATCAAGGCGAAAAAGACTTGCAGACAAGAGACAAGGATAGTGTGGGCTATACCTCATTTGCTTCTTCAAGTTTCTGGGAGTTCAGTGGCAGTAGAACATTGTTTTAAATTTTAAAAAAATGCACTTAAAAATTATCAGATTTAGGTATTACTACCCCCTAGAAATGGAAGAGGGTGGAAAATGGGTCACAGACACGTGTCTGATGAATTTAGAATTGTTAAGCTTACAATTAAGACGAAAACCTTGGAAATCTAATGGTGAAAATCAGCCAGTGAATCCACTTTGTGGATCCCAGTGGCCTGATCCCATTGTGCACGGAGACACCAGGAGATATCTTATTCCAAGGCAGCTGGCAGAAACAAAGCTTAGAATGACTGAGATAGAAGTCCTGAGTTAGGGGGTTGATGTCACTAAAGAGAATTGGGTTCCAGGAGTAGCCTGAGGTATGTGCGTCATAGACCTGTTGTGAAAACAACACTAGTGTAAGCACTCTCTCCACTTCCCCCAGGGAATAACATTTCTCACTTGCCTTGAATTTCACCCAGAAGGTGGAGCTTGGCTTGCCCTGATTTCACTGGCTGGGTGCTCCTAACCTCTAGGCAGCCCATGAGTGTCTCAACAGAGGAAATCAAGTGCCTACATGTCTCACGTTGTGTCCCTTTTCCAGGTTTCCTATGCTCGCCCCAGTTCAGCATCTATCAGAGATGCAAATTTATATGTCAGTGGACTTCCGAAGACAATGACCCAGAAGGAGCTGGAACAGCTTTTTTCACAATACGGACGCATTATTACTTCCCGTATTCTTGTTGACCAGGTCACTGGTAAGTAGGCAGCCGCTCTGGCCAGGCCTTTGCTCTATCCAGCAGGCAGCTGGTGAAATATTCTGCCTTCTGATGCGACTATCTTGGCTCTAGAACACATCAAAGGTGTACGTGGGCCAGAAAATGCAATTTTCTACTGGAATTGTTCATAAATATGCATGGACAAAAATAGATTGTGGAGTGTAGTGAGTAAGCTTGAGTCATTTCTACCCTGAAGGTGCAGGTTTGAAGCCTGTTTCATGGCTTGTAATAAATTTACAGATGCTGTAATCTTCATTGCCAAGCCGTGGCGTGAAAATAGCCCCCATCTTCCTTATAAAGTACCAAGAAACAATCTTACTTTGTAAAAAAAAGCAGAGGTTAATGCAGCACTAGGCAGCTGGTTCTCCGAGGAAGGATTACACTACATGCAAACTGGTAATTGCTGTTACGGCTGCTTCCCAGGCCCATGCCGTGATGTCTAGACATGTGTAAGAATATGAAATCTTGAATGTTAAAAATTTGTTGTATGCCTAATGTAACTTGTAACAAAACTGAAATGAGAAGACTAATATACTTATTAAAAATTATACATGTTGAGGATGCCTTTGGCTAAAGTTTTCATTAAGGAAAGCTAGCAATATAGATTTGAATATGGTTTTGAAAAATGAAGTGCCTGTATCTGTATTATGTATTTTTATTATAAAAAGCAATACAAGTTCATTTTAAAGCACTTAGAAAATATAAGCACATGGCAAGGAGGAACAAATATCACCCATTAAACCATCTTTCAGACCAGCTACATTTATATATAGTTTGTGGAGTTTTAAAAAGTAGGTAGGTTTTTTTTCTTTTTTGTGTTCTATTTTCTCTTATCCTCTTCTTTTTAAAATAGTGTATTATAATTTCTGAAAGTTTAGAGAAAGCACAACCACAGAATTAAAAAGTCAGGCCAAGTTTTTAATTCTTCATGTGAAAATCGGTTCCATCGACTTAAACTTGATCAGAAGTAGTGCTTCAGCTCTCTAATAATTGGCTTCAGAGGCACGTCCCCTCCTAGAGTTCTGGGTTTACACACACAAACATACACCATAAAATATATACATGCTGTGCGAATGACCTGTTGGCTTTGATGTACAGAACATTTATAGGCAAGTGAGCGTTAATAAAACATTTTTCTTCGCCATATTAGCTATTTCCTAATCCTCTTTAAGCTGTCACTGTGTTGGAACATAGACTGCTTATGTGGTTTAATAGTAAATGAGATACAGCAATTCAGATGAAGTCGTGTAGAGCACAACAGTACCCTTTGGTTTTGTCTATATCCATCACACTTTTTTGCTATTGTTTTTAAAATGGGAATTTGGTGACAGTGGAGTTTACCTGTGACACTGGAAGTCAACTCATAACCAGAAGCCACCCCTAATGCTTAGGCCCCAAATGGATTTAGCACATCACCTCCCCTCTCCGGTAAGTCAATGGTTCTCAAATGTGCTCCTGAGTAGGCAGCATCCTCCTGTTCATCCTGGGGCTTTGCTAGACAGACAGTTTCCTGGGCCCCGCCCCACCCCAGGCCTGCTCAGCAATCTTTGGGGCTTGGATGAGTTACCAAGTCCATCAGGCTATTCTGATGTGCACACTCAAGTTTGAGGACCACTCTGTAGATGCTTACATGAAATGCAGAGACCATTTCATTGCTGCTCTAATGCTTTCCTAATGGAACTGTGAAGTCCCAAGGGTTAGTCCCATTAGGTCATTAGGAGCTAGTTAAGGGCCAGGGCAGGGGTGTTGGGGATGGTGCACAAGAAGACCAAATCCATTGCCACCCAGTTGATTCTGACTCATATTGATAATATGTGTGGCTTCTGAGGCAGTACAGAACCACCAGCTGCGCCACAGGTGAAAGACAAGGCTTTCTCCCATAAACAGTCGTGGTCTTAGAAACCCACAAGGGCAGTTCTGCCCTATCCTATAGGATTGCTATGAGTCAGCATTGACTTGTTAGCAGAGAGTGAGTGAGAGGCTCTTTTTCTAAAACCATCCTGGGAGTAGCAGTTCAGGGCTTACTGGACCGCCCCACTAGCAGGGTGTATTTCCCATCACTCCTCTGTTCATCTTTATACTCATGATTTTCAAAATGAATTTATTTGCTTTACCTTCAAAAACAAAACCCTGCATGCATAGCCCATAAATTAAAAAAGCTCCAAACTCACTGACAACCACTGACTCATAACAACCCCTGTGGTCTCCGAGGCTGAGAGGAAACTGGATGGGAGTAGAAAGCCCAGTCTTGCTCCCTTGTAGCCGCTACTGGTGTTGAACTGCTGAATATGCAGATCGCAGCCCCATAAATAACCACCACATGATACCAGGGCTCCTATTTAGCCTGGAAATAGGAAAGACAAAATGATAAAGAGGTCTGAGATAAGCATATGTAAAGTAAATTTATCTACCTTAGGTTAAATCCTAAACTGTAGAATTTAAACAGTATAAACTGTAAAGCAAGTAGATTTTATTTCTTTAAGTTTCTATAAGCATGGTCGCATGCCTTTTCTAAGCATACCTCCCTCTGGTTAACCCTTTTCTTCTTCATTGACATACTCTGTCTGAACCTCTAGGCCAGCGGCTATCAACCTGTGAGTCGCAACCCCTTGGGAGTCAAATGACCCTTTCATAGGGGTTGCCAGATTCATAACATTAGCAAAATTACAGTGATGAAGTAGCAACGAAAATCATTTTGTGGTTGGGGGGTCACCACAACATGAGGAACTGTATTAAAGGGTCGTGCCATTAGGAAGGTTGTGAACCACTGCTCTAGGCCTTTCTAGCCTTTAGGCCCATACTAGTCATACTAATACCAGTTTGCTTGTTTAGAAAATACCTCCCTACAATTGGTGGCCACCTCAACTGCTCTGTTCAAGCTGATTAAACATAATGTGTTTAATAATGTTTAATAAATGTTTCCTGCTAATATTTCTTAGCGCCTGAAAGACCATTGGCCAACCCTCTGCTTTCCCAGTTAGTGCGGGACAGGGAGTGTCAGTGCACAGTCAGGAGTAATGCTAAGGCCAGGATTCTTTGATAATTTCTTTAAAATAGGCCCATTTTACCTTTTTTTTACTCCATGTACACTCTCTACTCGCTTAACATGGTTAGGTACCAAAGACCAGGTGTGAAATTGGCATTATGCAAAATGGAGAGTGATTGCATATTGCATAACTGCCAAACCCCTGGGAACATAGCCTAGTTAAATTGACACCAGGTTAACCATCGTAGCCAGCGTTATTCTCACCTCGAACGTTGACATTTGTTACTACTACTGGATGTGTTGTAAATGTGCAAAAGTCAGATAGTAGATTTTTTACTATTAAAAATGTGAAATGTTGAATAATGGGATAGTAAATGAAAAGGAGGTAGAGTGTACTTCTAATAGAGGATTAGTAGGGGGAGGAGTGGAAGAGCTTCAGGGAATCAGAAAAATCTCTTCCATCATTTTTCTTAATTGGCCTGTATCTTCTCTGATATTAAGCTGAATTTGTTATTTAAAATTTTAGCTAATGTATGTCTCAACTACAGTGTATTGCATATATTAGCATAACTTTTTAGCAAATGCCTGGTCCTGTTCTCCCTCATAAAAGGAAGCGCTCCTGTGTCCCTCATTTCTGAGCTGTTTATCCAGTAGAAAAATTTGATAAATGGAACTTGGGCTTGGTGACAGAATTGCTAGTGAATTAAGATAAACTTTCCTCCTGGTGTAAGTTTTTTTTGCAAAAGCTATATGTGGATGAAAGCATGTGCTTGGGAAGGAAAAATTAATCTATCCTTTCTTTTCTTCCCCTTCCTCTTTCCCACCCAAATCTACCATAGGCATCTCAAGAGGTGTAGGGTTTATTCGATTCGACAAGCGGATTGAGGCAGAAGAAGCTATCAAAGGCCTAAATGGTCAGAAACCTCCAGGTGCCACAGAACCAATCACTGTAAAGTTTGCTAATAATCCAAGCCAAAAAACCAATCAGGCCATCCTCTCTCAGCTGTACCAGTCTCCCAACAGAAGGTATCCAGGGCCACTAGCTCAGCAGGCACAGCGTTTCAGGTAAGTCTGGTGTAGTTTTTGTGTCCCGCTATTAAACTCAGAGACAACTCTCTGCACATAACTTCCCAGCACAGACAGATTCCCTGAGGATGTTTTATTTTCTTCTTTGAAAATAACTGTGTTTGCTTGTTTTCTTTTTTAATGGACACAGAAAACCATTGTGGGAAATAGTGCCTTCCACTAATTATGAAGGTTAGAGCCAAAGGACAATAACCTTTAGCTGTGGTCTTCAACTGGCTGTGATTGTGCTCCTCTGGGTGCTATTGACAATTCCTGCAGTCATTTGTGTTGGCATAACCTCGTGGGGGTGGGGGTGCTACTGCCATCAGATGTGGTTAAAGAGCAGGGAGGCTATTGGGCCTTCTGCGTTGGGCAGAATAGCCCCAAGGTTAGCCGCTCTTCATTCCCCACACTGAGGGCTGATGTTGAGAAGCCCTGGCCCACAAAATGCCAGGGTCATCTTCACTATCTTTGGGCATCCAGTTTCCCCTCCTTTTTTTTGGTTGTATTTTATGTTCCAATTTTTAGAAAGAGCCCTTTTAGTTTTATAATACTTAAACCTCTAAAGATGTATAAGTAACCTCTGTATATAAATTAAGTTTTCTAAAAATGGGCTCTTCTCTCCTTTTTTTCATCTTTATTTTTTTATAGTCCAGCAAGTGTCCTCTGTAAAAGCACAAGAGTAAAAATGTTAGATTTTGTAGTCCATAGTCACTGTTCCATATTTGGTTTTGAGGATTTTTTTTGTCTGTTCTTTTCCTCTTTTAAAAAATACCCAACTCTTTAAAATTGTAAAAGGCATTCTTATCTTCTGGAGTGTATGTAGGGAAACGGTGGCAGCCTGGATCCGCCTGTGTGTAGTGTTTATGGCCCCTTTTACTCTGGATAGTGGTACAGTGCCTGTTTGGTCCAGAGAGGCTGTTCCAGCTCATGAACAAGTACAGGTGTTCTTACTGTTCAGGCTTTATTCTAGTCCTAGAAGAGTCACCAAGCCAAGAAGTTATTTATCAAAAACCTCTTAAAAGAACAATCATTTTAAGAGAATAATGCACACAGCTTCTGGTTTCACAAGTCAGTCCCTCTGTTTTTATCTTCCAGGACATTTTAAAATCTTGTTTGTCCACATGGTATTATGCAGCCATAATAGTATCTATCCCCCATGCCATTTTTAATACTATTATTGCAAGTGCCTATCTATTGTATTTAATTCTGTGGCAGAATACCTGCAAAATTAGAATCACAGATGTAGCCTAATAAAACTGAGGAGTCAACTGCTCCCTAACTTAAATCCCATGCTCCCCTCCCAGCACCACCAGGGTGACTTTTGTCAACTGTCTCCTTTTGGAATATAGTCCGTCATCATTTGAATCTGAGGAAAAAATTGACCATAATCTCATGTAAATTTCTATTGCAGTGGCTGTCTGCCCTGGTAGGACGGGTGCTACATTTTGAATGGGATGACTGGGTGCCCTATTAACTGACATTTGTGCTCTTGACGGTCTGCTTGAATTTGGGAAGAAGAAAGCATTGGTGGAAGTTGACTTAGGTTGATGGTAATGGAGATATGGCTGCAGAAGGCATTTACCTGCTTTGTGCTTTCCCTTGTGGAGAAAAAGCCTACAGAGTGGTGTGTTCAGCTCTGCCGGTCAATTTCCTCTGTAGCTCTTTGTTTTTTGACCCCCTCTGTCTTTTAAAGTAAATATATCTCGCAAGTGTAGCACAGACAATCATGGAGAATTTCTACAAATGTTTCCTATTTGGCCAACCTAGGTAATTTCAGAGCTCTACGGGGCCTAGAAAAGACATACTGATCCTAACAGGAAATTCTTCTTTAAAGTGTATCAAGTGCCTGCTAACTTTGATGATGTAGAGCAGGAGTCCTCAAACGTTTTAAACAGGGGGCCAGTTCACTGTCCCTCAGACCCGTTGGAGGGCCGGACTACAGTTAAAAAAAACAAAAACCTATGAACAATTTCCTGTGCACACTGCACATATCGTATGTTTAAGTTAAAAAAAACACCAAAAAACGGAGCAAAAACACGAGGTGGGCTGGATAAATGCCCTCGGTGGGCTGCTGGCCCATGGGCCATAGTTTGAGGACGCCTGATATAGAGTATTTAATACTGGTTTTGTTGTTGTTGTGCACTGTTGAGTCGGTTCAGACTCGCAACCACCCTGTGTGATAGCGAAGAACTGCCCCTTAGGGTTTCCTGGGCTGTGATCATCACAGGAGCAAATAGATCTTTTTTCTCACCGGTGGGTTTGAACCACTGAACTTAAAGTTAGCAGTTGTATGCTTAGCTATTATGCCACCACGACTCTTTAAGTAGTTACACTAGTTTAAGTTATTGGTTATTTTGTATGTTTTCTGATCTGTTTTTGTTGATGACAGTTATTAAAGCACTGTCATTAGAAACACTGTTGAATTCCGAGGAAGATAAGGTAGGGTCTCCAGGGGAACGCATAGTTCCTGAGATGGCAAAGCACTGATGTGAATCAGAAATCAGAGTAGAGTGGAAGCTGGGTCCACACTCTCCATGACATACCCTCGTTCCCACCCACACTGTACTTTTCATTTTTGGCTGGGTAAAGTTTGCAGGCTGTTCTATTGGCCAGATTTAGTATCTTTTTAAATCTTGTGTCCATTTTGTGCTTTTGTGTTGTGTACCACACGTTACCATTAACTTGGAAATTCTTCCTTTCTCCACTCCTAGATTAAACATTGTGGGAAAAGGAAGTCAAGTCAGCTAGTTGGAAGGGCCACTTTGTTTTTAGGAAAACTGAGATTTTTATTTACCCTTTAATGCCCTACCTGTTGGTTCTACCACCCCCACTTTCTAGTCCACAGTCCCTGACTAATAAAATGTGAACTAGACAGATCTATGAAGATGTTTCCTCAAGACATGGGGTGTTTTAATTGAGAGACTTTATTCCTATGATCCATTTTAACTTGTTTCTTTAAGGTTGAACTTTCCTTCTTTTACCTCATAAAACTTGTGAATTAAGGACTGGTTTGTTGGTAATTTGCCCTTTTCTGTAGTTCAAGTCTAGGCTCTTAGACAAAGTTTTTCCATAGTTGTCTGTGTCTTAACCTTGGATTTGTCTCCTTCCAGTAAATCCTGGTTGTAGTGTTGTTCTCATAGTACTTTGGGAATTGAAAGAGATTAGAGAATACAAGTCCTTAGTATTACAATCAGGGGTCTTTTTTAATACTCATGAACTACAATATTTCTTTTAAGTCCAAAATATTAAAACTATGTAATAAGTTTAAAAGTGGGTTTGCAAAGTTTAAGGCTTAATCAACACCGGTGACTAATTAGAAAATGAATTATTTTATCTTGGCACTTCCAACCTCATGTGTATTTAATTTACTACAGTTTTAAAATAAGCCAAGCCTTAGGTGGATGGATAGTATAAGTCAAGCTCTCAGTTTATTCTTGGAACATAGTACCTGAATTAAACATTCAACCAGACATTTTAATGTTTCTTCCTTGTGCAGCAGCTTTAATTGTATAGAATTAGTCTAATGACTTAGTCTAATGACCTGTGTGTCTGAACTAGGAGTCTTTATGTCGGAACTAGGAGCCTTTATGCATTTTTAAGGACGCCTTTTAAATCACTTCAGTTGCATTTGGGTCCTGTGCTGGCTATATTATCACGATTTCCTTTTAGAAGAAAGTGGTATCACTCTTCCTGAATAAATTTTCTCTCTTAGAGGACAGATGATACCATCTAATTGGATAAGGGTAAGTTGATAAGCTTGTTATGATTAATTTCGAAGAAGGTCTTTGTCTCAGCTCTGGAGAGGTTTTGAGAGCAAATGATTGTAGGCATTAGTTTTATTTGCTTATCTTTATGTTTTTCTCTCTGACTTTAATTGAAATTATAGTTCCCTTTGAAGCCTCCCATCGTCTTGTCAGTTAGGCGGTTTGAAAATTAGATTTCTTCCATGTTCCTGTATTTATAGTTCTTAAATGAGAATGCCTTCCTAATGGGTGCTTCTTTCCATTATATTGCTTAAAGTATTCTGAGACATAGGAAGAAGGGCTCATGTACCCACAGTGTGTGTAAATGTACCCACTTCTTTCTGTCAGTTTGTCTTATTGTGGTTCTGACATGTTTTGGTGATGCTGGAGGTGGTTATGGTATATTTCTTACTTTTTTTTTTTTTTTTTTTTGTATATTTCAAATACCAGGAAGGTTTCAGTGGAGCTCCCAATCTAGGACAGAAGGACCTGCTGATCTACTTCTAAAGAAATAGCAGGTGAAAGCCTTATGAATAGCAGTTGGACAGTTGTTTGAGCGTCCCAGGTGGACAGGCACTCAAAAGACAAATGGGAACCCTACCTCCTTAGCGTCAACCTTAATGACATGAACAGAGTAAAGCTTTCACAGCGTTCATTGGCTTATGCGCTATGACTCGAAAAGAAACATCTGCAGACATCCATTAATTGAAATGCGAGAATCATCAAGAGAGAAATGGAACACACAGTGATCTGTATCTTAGACGTGTGCTCTGAACTAGATTGGTTATTGGCCATTTAGTATTGGGCATTCATATGGTTCACTAAGCTGGGATGACAAATTGCAGAGGGATGGCAACAGGCTCATTGTCAAAAAGAACATTTCTAATCATTATCATCAACTAAAGCCAAAGGGGGGGGGGGGAGGAATTAAAAGGTTTTTGCCAACCTCTGCTGTCTGAAATTAAACTGAATCAAGATGGATTAATGACTGGCATAGGAAGGTGTAAGATAGAAACAAAAGGATCAGTGGTTGGAAAATAAGACGTTGGTGAGAGAAATGATGCTGGCGAAGAGCTTAACTAGAATTTTGCAAGACCAATGGCCTGTTCATTAGAAGTATACCTTTTCAACAACTCTAACTGGGTTCTCTACATATGGACCTTGACAGAGAGAATACACAGCTGTCAAACTTACTACATCTGGAGAAAAAGACAATGAAGGGACTTAATATACCAGGCAGAACAAGACTAAGAG